ACCTTAACTCTACAGCTACGAATGCATCCGTATGCCAACTGCACCAATCTATAAATCATTAACTCCTTAAAAGGTACTTACCCCAAAAAAAAAAAAAGAACTGAGTTTCGCTTTAAAAGCTTTCCATAAGTATCAAAAGAATTCATGTAAAAGCAGTTCAGATTTGTTTAAAACATCATAGGGTAAACACCACTCAAAGCAGAAAAAGAACCAACTCATTATGAGTAACTTGCAGTTATCATATGGTTAGCAAGAACTGAGTTTCGCTTCTTCCATATAGAGTGAGACGCAAAGTTTTTATAAATGGTCGTTCAAATTATGCTAGCAAATGTAAAAAAGCTGAGCAGCTTTCAATAGCATACAAGGCTTCAGAATTTTCTATCAAGCAAGATAAACACAAGTCCAAAAGAATCTTTCATATTAAAGCTTATAATATTTAATTGTATAATCTATTTCAAGTGTCACACAGTCTATTTCAAGTGCACATATAACTTATACTATGCCGGGGGCCCATTGTTTGGACAAGGTGACATTTAAATGTTTCAAGCCCAAAGAGATACACGATTCTATTTGAGCATATTATATTTTTTTTCAGCATATATAGGGTAAACTCTATGTCTATTAGACTTGACAAAGGTGCTCGCTGCCTTGGGGTGCCTGCCCAAGCACCAAGACAAATGACAGTGAGAGGGGTCGGGTAGGGGCATTTTCACTCTTTTTGCCCCTTTTCTCTTTTTTTAAAGACTATGGGGGGGTCCTCCAAAATTTTATCTAATACTACTATATAACATTATATATAGACATGGAACCATAATACCGATAAATTAATATATTATTGATAAATGCGTCAATGTCAACATGTGTTAATGATGTTTCTTAAAAAAAATATACTATTCATATTATAGTACAAATATATTAATAAATGTTGTCAATGTCACATGCCATTAATAAATGGGTGAATCATGTCTCAGTAAAAAGTAATATAATATCGATACAATAGTACAAATACATTAAATATTGTTGACTATCAATACTAGAGAGCAAAAGTTATTGGTTTCACCATCATAGCCTTTTCTCAACTATTTGGGGTCCGCTATGCGAATCCTAGTCCATCATTCTGCTCTATCAAGGGTCATACCCTTAGCGAGGCCATAAGTCCCCCCCAATATCATTTTTCACTACTTCCAACCATATCCTTTTACACCTACCCCTTGCCCTTTTTGAGCCTTCCACCTGAAATAACTCGCACCTCCTAACAGCTATTGTATTGGATCTGCGCTACACATGGCCAACTCACCTAAATCTACTTTCTCGCATCTTATCGCCTATCAGACAAACATATTAATATAATATATATAATACAAGTAACTATAAGACAAAATTATTAAACTATTAATATATTGACAATACAAGTGGCAATTTAAAATTAATAGAACAAATAAGAACAATGCTTTCTCTCTCTCTTCATTTCTACATGGCTCTTCTCTCTCTCTTCTCTCTGTCTCTCCCACCCCCCCACCCCACACTCTAGGGCTTCCCTTGAATCTGGGCGCCTGCCTAAGCGGGCACCTAGGCCCCTCATTGCCGAGGTGCCGCCTAGCGACTTCTCCAACATTTTCAAGTGTGACAGTTTATTTTAAGTGCACACATAACTTATAATATGCAGGTGGCCCATAGATTGGACAAGGTGGCATTTCAATGTTTCAAGCACAAAGAGCTGATACATGATTCTATTTGAGCATATTATGTCTCTTTTTAGCATACAATGGGTAAACTCTTGTCTAATAAGGGAAATGAGGTTTATGTGAATCAGTTCTTCAGACGTGGTATTATAGCCGAGAAAATCTTAGCTCTAGACTCTTATCTGTAATCCCTTTTCATTTAAATGGCTGCAATATGCGTCTCTATCACAAGACACACCTAAATAGTGAACTTGGACACTTGTATAGGTGTCAGTTGAGGTAAACTGTGTCAATCCTTCACTCTTCTAATAAAGTAAGATAGGGCATGCAAATCAGTTCCTCTATCATGGTATTATATAGCCAGGAAAATCCTAGCTTTAGAGCCTTATCTGTCAATCTCTAGGGCCTTAGAGAGAGTCCTCCAATTGCTCAATGAAAAGATTTAACATCTGCAAGCTACTTTTGTGATTCAATACTTTGAAATTCGCGTCAGTTTGTAACTATAAGCACTATACACATGCGTGGGACCATCAAACTTTGGGAATCTACAGCTTTCCTAATCAAGGCCAATCTGGAACTCCTACTGAACTCTTTAAAAGTTATGGCACTATGTTTAATTTATTTATGTTTCACGCATACTACTAATCCTGCCATGGTTGCGGGGATCTTGGTCAAGGGGTGGTGATCCCCTCTCGGAATCTCGATCGGGTGATCCCAGAGCTAAAGCCCGAATGATACTCACTTCCTCCCATCAAGGGATCCCAAACCCTACCTATTGGGAACTCGGTTCCTAACTTAAAGGGATCTAGATCCTTGACTGCTAAGGATCTCGATCCAGTCCTCGAAATTGTTCACTAAATTGATGATTTTTATTGTTATATATTATTCTAAAGTGTATTATAATGATGGAATTATTTCATATATTTGTTTTTTTCTCTTAATTTTTGTTTAAAATCTGTAGGGAAGGACAGTAGAGGATATGAACAGGTACATAGGGGATACAGGTTTGGGGAAAGAAATGAGATGGGTGAGACTATTCTAGATTTTGCAACGGCCTACGACCTAGCAATAACAAATACTTACTTTAAAAAGAGGGGTGAACATTTAACAACCTATAAAATTGAATCACATAAAAGCCAAATGGACTTCTTCCTAGTTAAGAAAGTAGATCAACCCTTATGTAAAGACTACAAAGTTATCTCAAGCGAGAGTTTGATTACCCAACATAAGCTCGTGGTTATAGACAACTGCATAAAGACATGGAAGAGAAGGGGTAAAAGTAGTAGTAGGTGTCCAAGAACTAGGTGGTGGAACTTAAAAAATGGGAAACTAGACCATTTCAAAATAAATTAGTTGAAGAAGGATAGCGCTCTGAACATGATGTCAATGTAATATGGAATGAGATGGCTGACTGTATCGAGAAAGTGGCAAAAGAAGTTTTAGGAGAATTAGAGGAAAAAGAAATTCCGATAAAAAAACTTGGTGAAGGTGAAAAAGATGATAATTTAAGGCATATGATAATTTATCAAAACTTAGAAGAATGTAAAAATGCTAAAAAAAACACTAAACAAATAGTAAGTACAGCGAAACTTAAGGCATATGATAATTTATAAAATAAACTGGGAACAAGATAAGTGAAAAAGATGTCTTCAAATTAGCAAAAATAAGAGGAAAAAAATGTAGGGATCTAAACCATATTAAATGCATTAAGAATGAAGATTAAAAGGTCTTAATAAAGGATGACGAGGTCAACAAAAGATGGAGAGTTTATTTTAAAAACTTATTAAATGACGAACAAAATGGGAACATAGCGATAGAAGGAACTGTTGGTATAAATGAGGGCGGAGGTCATAGTACATTCGTAGGATTAGGATGTCAAAAGTGAAAGAAGCTTTGAAAATGATGAAAATAGAAAAGGCTTTAGGATCAGATGGTATCCCGATAGATGTTTGGAAGTGCATGGGGGAGATTGGCATTGACTGGTCGACGAAGTTGTTCAAGAAGGTGCTGAAAACAAAGAAAATGCCAGATGAATAGAGGAAAAGTATTGTGGTAACTATTTA